CTTACGTTATACTTTAAGATGCAAGCTAAACACTGTTGGCTTCTCTAAATTTAAAATCTCTGGATATCTGTTGCAAGACAGTAATGAGAGAAATGATTTGAAAATACAAAATATGCTTTCATGTGTGACATACCGTATTTATCGGCGTATAACACGCACAGGCGTATAACACGCATCTTCATTTTAAGGGGGAAATTTCAGGAAAAAAAATTTAAAAAAATTCTGCCTGCCTGCCTTAGTTTCTGGTTGTTTGGGAGCAGCTTCGGCTGAGAATAATAACTATTCGCCTCTTTTACTCAGCCGAAGCTGTTCCGATTCAACCATTAACGAAGGCAGGCAGGCAGGCAGAACGGAGCACTGCGGGCGGGCGGGCGGGCGGACGGGGTGGGGGTGGGGGAGAGGCGACAGGAAAAGCCCCCCCCCCGCTTCTTTGAAGCAGTTTCTTCCTGTGCTGGTGGAGGAGCGAGAGAGCGACTGAGAGAGCTGACCCAGAGAGAAGGACAGGCTTCGGTTGCTTCCTCCCTCCCCTTCTTTCATTTGTGTCCTTGATCCCCGATCCCAGCAGCATTCACCGAAGGCTTCTTAACATTATATCGGCGTATAACACGCATACATCATTTGCCCCCTATTTTCAGGGGGAAAAAAGTGCGTGTTATACGCCGATAAATACGGTACTTAAAAAACAGGCAGAGCTTAATTTGAACTATTGTAGTTGCCATTCTGGATTTTTTTTTTATCATACCCTGTGAACATTCCAAATTATATTTGACCACAGAACAGTAAACCCTTGGCTTGCATCCTTAATCCAATTATGAGAATTTCACTTCCTGACAAACCTTTCTCTTTTACTCTTCCAAACCAAAAAGCAAAGGGCATAGACAATTTGATCAAATGGAAAAGTACAGAGCAGTAACTCAGAATGAGTTTCGTAAGGGAAAATTCTTAGGTTCCATTCCTAAGGCTAGGAATTACTTTTAGAGAACAGAAGACAGCATTTGGCAGGTAATCAGCGGCACAGAACAGAAGACAGCATTTGGCAGGTAATCAGCGGCACAGAAATAAATAAATAAATGGCAGCTGCTTTACTGGGAACTAATTTAGCAGGGTGCAGTTCAGCAGGGTAGTTCTAAATGAATATTCTCTGCAAAGCCAGATCCGACATCATCTTATTAACCAGATAAGTTATAAATGGTCCATCTATTCCTGTCCTTTCCAATGTCTGTTGATAAGGAGGTATAATTTTGTTCAGCTGAATATGTTGAATGTTATAAGTCTCCAACAGACTGATATGCTAGAAATTGATGTCTTTAGCATGTGTTCTTTCACTTTAGTTCATGGAAGCTTCTGTGAGAAAGGGCTTCAACTGAAATTTACTGCTGAATGCAAGTAGTTTATGGGAATGACTGTTGACATGAATACTGTGCATGGAGCCAAGAAATGAAAAGGAAGTAATAGATAAGAACTTATTTGTTTGATCAAAAATAATGTAGACAGCCCTGTTTCAAGGACTAACACATTTTGCATGAAACAGGTTGATGAACTGGCTAATAACAACTGATGGATTACTCAAAGGGAAACTGCTTTCAAGCTTGCCTTTTCACAAGAACATATGGGTCATGTTATTGATGTCTTCACTACTGAATGTTTCGTACAAGATGAATTTTTTGCATGTTAATAGCAGAGATGAAAGTTCAAGAGTTGAAATTTTCCAATTGTGTCCTGTTAGAAGAACAAGGCAAATAATTTATTCAAAACATTGTGTCAGGCAGCGAAACATTATAATCCAACAATGAATATCCAATGAATATCATTACAAAAGTTCACCTGTGGAGTGGGGAGGTAAAACCCAGGCTTTGGCAGGAAAAAAGCATGCAGCATTGTGGCATGCAGGTGGTGTTATTCACATGGATTTCTCTGAACCTGGCACCAGGATCAACTCAACACTGCAACACTGAAAACTTTGAAACAATTGTTAAACAAAGCTTGGAGCACAAAAAGGAATTTTCACTGCAATTTGACAGTGCTAGGCCTCACACTTCACCATCCATCCAAGAGGTAACTGAGAAGTTGGGACTAGCCTTCTCTTATCCAAAATTGAGATATCTTCATGGGCATCTATTTGATTCAAATGAAGAGGTGTATGGACTGTCAGCATGTGGTTAAAGAGACAAAAGTGTGGTTATATTTTATGATGGAAGCTTGCCCATCTTTGACAGAATAGCACATAGTAGTAATTATCTGGTAAAAGGTAAATACAGGTAACAGAAGAGCTAATTTTAAGAATTATTTCTCTGTTTCACTTTTTAATATATCCCTACTGAAACTAAAGTTAAATCAGGTATTCTTTTTAATGTTCATAATAGATGGTTTATAGGTATGCCAGAAAATAAAAATAGCTTTTTATATCTTCTTTGCCAATAAGGGGAGTTGGTCATCTTTAGCATCTGGGTGTTATGATATGTTAAAAGAAGTAAATAAAAGACATCTCTCTTATGTATATGTATATATACACATACATACATATGATATATCACATATAGTCTAAATTTGTAATGCCCGTATACTATTTTATTTTGTTACTTAAAATTTTTCCCAATTTCAAACTGCCATAGCAAGAGCATGAAGACATCAAGTGAAGAAAAGCCACCTACCTCTTTGGGTGATGCTATTGTTGAACAGCTCTTAGGAGTTGGACTTTATAAAGGTTTGCAATGTATTGTATGGGATACTTGAAAACAACCATCTTTATAAAGCAAATTTAAAAACTGAAGTTTTCTACTGAGGATTGGTAGTCTCAAAGTTAGAATAGTTTAAAAGGGGAAATAAATTTTGACAGATTAAACTATACTTGGCTACTAAATACTAAATCTATATTGCCTCCAGAATCAAAGTTAACAGCTTTCTCTAGCTTCCGGGAAATATGTGCAAGAAGCATCTAGTTGGATATTTAATTGGGAGCACATTTTTATTCAATTAATCTTAACAGTTATTGATCTAATGAGTTGACATGATGCTGTAGTCTTAACAAGCAGAAGCAGCTGAAGGAACCTTTCTGTTTGGATTTTGCTTTCATTACAGTTACAAGGTTTAACTTGTTTCCCTGTCAGTTTCTCTGCCTGTTAACAAATATGCATTGTTGCTGCCAAACCTCCAGAATATCTTTGGCAATAGCAATAACAACTGCAAACACAAAAGAACAATGTGCTCTTCTCAGGAAAAGTCAAAGAACAAAAACAAAGGAGCAATGAAAGCTTGAGCAAAATTTACAGATACTGCACAGTATCTGTAAAATTTACAGATACTGCATGTACATGGTGATGAACATTAAGATGATGACTTAAATTTAGGAATAGAAATAGGCAAATTCTAGTCTAAAATCACTTTGCCTTCTTCTGACTGAAGTAATGTGCATTCCTTCTAACTCTTCTGCAGTCGTAGATTGTAAGCATATGTAGCAAGGTACATTTAAGATTCATGATTATGAAGAAAACACATTATTTTTTATAATAATACTTGCTTTTTATCCAAGTGCTTTAACACTGATTGGTGTTAAGAATGTGCTTTGATACATCTGTATGATTGTGTAACTAAATTCTAATGATATTAAAAAAATAAAACATGAACATTAATTGAGGGCCTGGAATATTGTAGTAATCAACTTGGTAACCTTAAGATATTTCTTGTCATTCTCTCTTAGAATTAGAATTCCTAACCTGTCCCTGTTTTGATTCCAGGCTGGAAAAGATGTCAGATATCACTGGTTGAGAATCAGATTTTTCTTTATTAAAAAGGAGGGGTGGCTGGTTGCACAAAACCAGTGTCCCTTTACTCGTATCTTTTTAGCATAAGATAATAGCAGGCACATTCTTGCTTGGCTTCATTACTTTTTAGACAACTACTTGCTTCTTTAACTTATATCTACTACTCAAGTCTACATTATCCTCTGTAAATACTGGTATGTGCCTGTCACATCAAGGAACAGTATCTGGCATCAAATCTATATTTGTCAAATCTATATTTGTTAAAGCAGTGCACATCACATTTCTACATGAGGTTTACAAAATGGGGAAAACCTATACACTGAAGGCAAAGTGAAAACAACACTCCAAAATACAACACAATCCACAAATTACAGTACCTAAGATACATTTATTTTGAAATAAATCAGCTGTCAAGTGTCTCCTGCTTTTTCTAACATATCCTTTATACTTTCTCTTCTCAATCAAGCTTGTTGCTGAATAGGTGCAGGATCTGTTTGAACAGTAGCTCTACAAACCATTGGATCACAGCTCTCAAAATAGCTGCCTGGGCGTTCTGGGAGTCCAACCATTATTATACTGTAGTTTATCACACAGTCATTTAGATTGAATTAGACCACTCCTTCCAAAGAATCTGAGACAGGCAGGTGTTTAATTATATTAAAGATGTTGCTTAATATTGTTAAAACATTAAAGTTATCTATTATGGTTGGTCACAAAGTCTGACAGATGTTTTGACTGTATTTGGCATTTTTATTCTAGTGTGGAGTCTTTAAAGACCTAGGATAAGTGAATGTTTGATGATGCTGAAGATATGTCGCAGCATATCAGCTGTTCAAAGTAAAGCTACCTTTTGCAATTTACTAATGGCAATTCTGTTGATCACCACTGGTGTTCAAATGGCGTTGCAGATAATTTGGGATTGCACTCAAGGCACCTATCACTATTAGTATCATCTTTGCTTTCTTGTGTCACAGTCCTTTTGCGACTTCTATTTGCAGGTCTTTGTTTTCTGGGGTTTTCTCCCGTCCTTTCGCCTTTCCTGAAGGAACTCGAGGTGCCCCATGGCAGCGCTTCTTTTTCCAAGCTGATCCGCGCAGCGAGAGGGAGGTTAGCCTGAGAAACGATTGGCCCAAAGTTGCCTAGTGCTTTTCCAGAATAAAACATGCCGGTCCCGAAGTTCATCTACACCGAGATGATTCAGTCACTAAATTCTCTCTTACAGACGAGTGTGTATATGTGTGTGTGTGTGTTTTTTTGGGGGGGAAAAGCAAAAATCACAAACTGAAAGGGAAGGGCGACGTTCTATTTAGTTCAGCCGCCGCCATTTTCGTAATTTTTTCCCCTTGCATCTTACTCTTAGGAGACTTCTCGCCTTCCGCCGCCCCCCCCCGGGCCCCTTTTCAAAACTATTCAAACTGCCACCCGCGGCTTGGCGGTTTTGCTCTTCCGCAGCGCCAGAGGACCCGCGGGGCGGGAGGGGGCGGTGAGAGTGGGGGCGGCTCGCACGCGCCGAGAGAGCGGTCGCCAGGCTACTCCGGTAAACAACCCCCGCAGCATGTCCCAGCTTCAGTTTTTGGAGCTGCCCAAAGGAGTTTACTTGCCGGTAAGTGAGACTTTGAATGCTGCTCCTCGGACCTGCACTTCTTAGGAGGAGGCTTTGGGAATTCCTTCACATCCCAGGACTTTTAAAAAGGAGTCTGAGTTTGTGGCGCTGGGATCTTTCATTAAAACTATATACATCTGTTGCTTTCATTCAGTCCCACTGATTGTGGAGATTCTCAGTCATCCAGGTCATAGTTGTCTCAAAGGTGCTTTTCCAAAAGGCAAACAAAAACCAGTCCAGTTGCCTTTTGAAAAATCACCTTTGAGACAAGAATCATTGAAATTAAAAGTTTGCTTTTGAACAGTCATTTTAAGAGTTATCTCCAGGCTGGTATCTTTTTTTTTGAAAAGGCAAAATATAAAATACTTTAGACTAAAGGAGCTGACTTTTCCATCATGTACTGATATAATTTGTTTTTTCTAATTTAGTGAACAGAACAGGATTTTAAAGATATTGAAAGTCCTACCACTTTGCTACTGTCTAAATTTGTACAGCTCAAATAAAGAGCATTTGGCAGTGAAATGTTTGTCCTTTGAATAGCCCCCCCCCCCCAAAAAAAACACCTTTTGGAAACTAAGGGGATATTATAGTTGCATAATGTGAACAAAATTCAGGAGAATGTGTCCTGTGCTTCAAGGTAATTAGCACATAAGGCAGCTTTCCCCTATAAGGCTTGACACTTCAGGTGATTCCCTGAATTTCCTTATAAGTAGTAATACCTGATAAATAACAAAGGTGGAATATAAATAAAATAGTCTACAGAGTGTTAGCATCTGAATTCATTTGAGTTCCAGCTGCAAATTTGACATCTCAGCTACTGAGTTTAACTGATTTCTAAACTGTGGTCTATTTTAAATATTTACAGTTGACCATAATTAACCCTGGTTTGTGGTACTGGAAAGAAGATTCTAGAACACTCGAATTTTCATGGTAAGGATTCAGTTGCCTCTCTGACTTTTACCTTTATTTTTAAATTTATCATGCTTTATACTGCTTCTAATTTACAAACCATGTAAATCAAGGGTCATTCTTCTCAATTTTGGTAGGATTATATCTTTATCACCTGACAAGCTGGTTGGTAAGAAAATAAGTAGTAGTGGCACCGAATATTTTAAATTAGTCAAGCAATTATTCCCACATAATACATAGCACCCACCATTGCTCCTCTTATCTCCAGCCACCATATCTTTAAGCTGACTAGGACTTATGAGTGCTCAATCCAATCCATTTGAGATACTAATATGCAGAACATTCTACTAATTTCATTTTTAGTTATGAATTTTCTGCTCATACATAATTATTTGACTTTTTATATTGCAGTGCCCAGCTTAAGGAAGAACTTAAGGACAGTAAAGAGAAAAATAAGAAAGGCAAGACTATCCAATTTCAGGAACTTGGAGCAAAGCCACTAGAAAGGTGATATTGTTTCAAAACCAACAAAAGTTTGGCTATCCAGCAATGATTTGTGGGTTTGGCAGTGGATGAGCAATAATTAGGATGTGAGAGGTCCTGGGTTCAAATACTGAACAAGGACTGTCTGGTGTTGTTGGTGCAGAAGATTGTACTTTGGGGGGTGATTATTGCCTAGAATAGAAATATATGGAAAATATTTCTGATATCTCAGATAGCAGATGAATTCAATTTTCTGTGCCTGGTATCTTGAGCTGATCCAACTTGTAACAGATGCAATTTGGACAAATAATCTTGATATAGGGTGATGTATGTGATCTTGCTCTGAGTGGATTTATACCTGTAGTGATTAAAAATGTTGTGTTGGCTAATAAATAAAACTTGCCTATAACTTTGGCTGTGAATTCAAATTATTTTTCCCTCTTGAAGGAAAAAAGGGTTCCACCGGAAGTCATGGTTATAAAAAAAATAGACTGTATAGAGATGGATAGGCTAACGATGAAAATAAAAGAGAGAGAAGATTCAATTTATTATAGGGCCTGGGATGCCTGGTATGAGTGGTTTAGAAATAAAAATAAAATAAAATTGCAATTAGGAAAAGAATGAGGGAATATGTAAATATGTAAATATACCATGGAGAAGATTGAGATGTAAGGATAAAAGATATTGATTTATAGTAAGAGTAAGATGTAATGGTAAAGGAATAAGTAAATACATATACTGAAAAATGTGAAGAGATGCAAAAGATGTCTTGATGTTGATAACAATGTATAAAGCTTGCATCCATTTCTCAAAAGGAGAGCAATACCCTCATTTTCATATTATAGATAGTATTACATTAATGTGATCCAATGTACTCTTCTTTAGAACTTTACTGCCAGAGAAATTCTACTGAATTGAGAGACAAGGTGAAAAAACCTGATGTTGGGCTGCCATTGATCATGTGCCTTAATATATATAAAATGCTTCTAGCAATTCCAATCTTTGAGTTGATCATAGCCCCTTAGAGTGAATAGATCTGATATTTTAAACCCATGTTTTGATTTTTGGAAAGCATATAAAAGTTAAAGCACCTGTTTATCTCTCTCTTACATGCACACAAACATGCAATTTCTTCAGATTTTTTGGGGGTAAGGTGGGGCACAGAAGGTGGCTTTCCTTCTGTGAAGGAAAGCACAAAAGCAATATGTGATCTAGGTTGAAAAATATTACCCACATCTGGAGTAAACTAAATCCAGAAAAAGACATTGTTGGGTAGATAAAGAAACAGGAAAAAATTTTGTATGATTTTTAGTGGTTCAAGATTTATCTATCTTTCCTTTTTATCCTAATGATTACTAACTTTGTTTTTCTCCATTTTCATTGATGCAAAGAGTTCTACAACTAAATAATGAGAACTGGGCCATACGTTATAAGCAAGTTTTGCATAAATAGAATATGAATTGAAACGGAGAAACTAGCCTCAGACTTTTTTCACTTTTTGTAATCTATTCCAATACTAACTCAATTTTCTATGTACCTGAATTATGTAGAACTGTTGTGTGTGTTTTGCCTTTAGACACAGTAGGTACAAGAACAAAGCCTTATTTTTTTTTAATTGTAGGTCAGGTCCTCATTATTTTCGAAATCTGTTTACCTTGAGTGTTTCTTCTGGAGAAGACAAATCCCCTCGGCCGACCAAGAGAGCACAGTCTGAACTTATAACTCTAGAAGATGTTAAGTGTGAGTAAGGGAATGCTTATTTTGAATCACTAGGCTTGGAAACAAAGCCAGGCTAAGCCAGTTTGTATTTGGATGGAAACTGTTTAGAAATTTCAAGGTCATAGACTGAACTGGCAAGTTGAAAAAACATTCTGAACAAAGGCAGTGATAAATCACTAATATATGCTACAGTTGCTAAGAAAACTCCATGGATATGACCATATACACCTCAGAAGTTGAGCCTAAATTGAAGAGTTTTGTCTTCTTGTTAACACTATTCACTATTCCACTCATTTTGTTGTCATATCTGAAATCAGGTGTGGGCTGCTACGGAGAACTCATAGCTAATGTTATAGCTGGTTTGGAGAACCGGCAAATCCCACCCTGGCTGGCCCCTCCTGCCCCTCCCCTCCCAGGAGTCTCTACATGACCTGTTTTGGATGCCAAGAAAGTGCAGAGCCTTCAAGGAGGCTCAGGGAGGGGGGAAATGGGACTCCCAGAAGCTCTGTTTCCGGCCTCTGGAGAGCCTCTGGAGCCCGGGGGAGACCATTTTCAGTCTCCCAGAGGCTCAAGGAAAGCCTCCGGAGCCTGGGGAGGGCAACCTCCCCCCCCCCCGCCGTGGTGCGGGAGGCCGACTAGGCCGTGCCCACCATGTCTACGCCCACTCAGCAACAGGGCAGAGAACCAGTTGCTGAAATTTTTGAAGCCCACCCCTATCTGAAATGGTTTGAAATATTTGTTTATATTACTTCTGTAGAAATGTTGTCCTCTATTTAAAAAGATGATTGCCCATTTCTGTGCAGTGGCGAAAATGCAGAGATCAGAAGTTCAACTGAAAGATGCCAGCCCTGTAATAATTATGATTAAAGAGCATAAGAGTACCAGAGGATAAAAGAAAACTACTGTTTTACATACTGCTTTATCCGCTTCTTCACAGATTTTTCAGTATCATTATGGTTTTACTTGTTTTTATGATTGGGATAAAGCATATGCTTTCATAAAGCAGATTCACGGAAAGCTTGGCATTAATAAATAGAATATGAACATTCCTTAATTAATGATAATGCTTTCCTTAAATACTTCGTTTCTTTTCTCCTGCGAGGAATCAAGGTAAAATTGAATTGTTACACACATATTTAACTTCCCTGATTTTTCTTAATGAAAATTTTAATTCTCAAAAATCATATAAGGCAGTTCCCCCAGAATTTTACATTTGAAAATGTTAGGGAAAACAGTGTGTCTTTATATTCCAAATTGATATATTTCATTTTAAAAAAATAGAAACGATAGGGTACAATTTTATTATTTCATTAGATATTTTCTTCTTTTTTTAAAGAAAGAATTGTACCTTTCATTATGATGTGTACCAGAAATAGGCATTTATAATAAAAGTAACTTGGTCCAAAGGATAGAAGTTCAGCCTTAAACCTAGTTCAAATTTCAATTTACTTGTAAAGGTTTTTGATTTGGGAGTAGTTATTTCCAGGACTGTCCACCTTGGAAAATAATTCAGAAATGCTTTGAAAATCATCCAAACAGAATATTTATTAAAACAAATTATTTTTTTTCCAAGCTTCCAAGTGATTTGGAGAAGAAAGATGCTCCTATTTTAATGACCTTACTGCAGTTCATCCAAATATTTTAGGAACTGTGAAGTGTCTCTAGCTATGATTTTTTCAGAGCTTATTTTTTCAGTGTTTTGAGGAAGTAAAATAGGTAGATTGTCCTGAGTTGTTATGAAGGAAGGGTTGGATATAGTAAAAAAAAGCCAAACACCAATTTATATAAGCCAGCTTTCTATTAAGATTTTAATTGCCCTGGTGCCTGGATATGATGATATGTGTAATTTGACATATCTGAAGGAGATGAGGTTCATCCCGGGTGCAATTTTTGGGGGTGTTTGGGCAAGAGACCAATTCCTGCCCTATAGATCAGATCGTTGTGTATTGCTCTAATACTGTAATAAACTGACTTTACCCTATAGATTTTATCATCTTTGTGTATGTATCGGCGTTCTTTTATAAATGATGCAGCTTTCCATCCCATTTAAATTTTTTCATTGGTTTAAAGAAGGCAGGTAAACAGTGACATTGTGCTAGAAAATCAGGTCCAAAATGCTCTGAGCATTGGATTGGGTTACTTACAAAATGAAGGACCTTGGTTAGTGCTTTCAAATTTCTGCTTCTTGCAAAGTGGAGGTCCTTGGTGGATGCTTCCAAATTTCTGCTACAGATTTCGCACTTGGAAAGGTTGGATTAAGCAGATTGGCTCATTATACTTTTCTTTCCTTGTGAATATTTTCAGATGCTGCTTTATTTCTGGCACATGAAGATGATTCCATTCACGTTTCTTCTTTCTCCTTAGTTATGAGGTACATATTGAGTGTTTCTGTTACATGATGTGTTTTCATTTAAGAGCAAATCAAGAAGTTGTAAGTTAAAGAAAATTGGTTCATTCACCAATGCTTGATCCAACCATTCATCATCTCCCACAATGCCTGGACCAGTCAGGAAGCACATAGATTTAATAATTGGATGGCAAGACCCTCTCAACTTTCTTAGGATCAGTAAAATTAAACATTTTCCAGATAATCTATCCAGAACTCTTCTCTCAATTCCATAGACTTATATTGCCAGGGTACATCTCAGAATGGATCTAAGCAACTTTATCCAACTGATGCCTTCAACATTGCTCACAGTGGTGCTGCAGATGTTTCTCTGGTCTCACTTTACCCAGGAAGAAGTGCATTGTTGGGTACCTGTAAGCATGATAAGAATAGAAAAATAATTGTTTTGTTTCCCTTATTTTGGCAAGAAACTCTCACTGATGCTTACTTAGGTTTGTTCTTCATCTTTCGCTAACATCCCTCAATGTCTTCAGGAGTTAATTTCCATTTTAATCTCCAGGTGGTACTTTGAAAACTAGGAAGCTCCTAAGATCTCAAGATAAGAAACTGCCTAGAGGTGTTGGGAGTCAAGTTGGTTACACATTTAACCAACAAAATAACACCTGAGTTGGCACAACTGGATCCAAGACCAATGTTGTTTTTTTATTCTAAGAAGTGATTAAGGTCTCATTTGAACCAAGCATCTTCTTCTATAGCTGTATCTTCTACAGCTGTGTATGATTGAACAACTGATTACTAACACTTTGCCATCATCCCTCCAAGCTACCTGATCAGCAACACTCCAGTCTGGCTCCTGGCCAGATTGATAACAGAGTGTCCCAGGAGTATCCCAGGAGACCATTGTGAAGGCTCTCTCTCTTTCCCTCTCTCCCTGTCCCTCCCTCTCTCCCTGTCCCTCCCCCCTCTCTCTAGATGGAAGGATAGATAGGAAAAATGGCCCTCCCCCAAAAAGATATTAAGATGAAAAAACTTTCCCCTTTATCATCAGCAAACATACCAATACTGGAAAATTTATTGCTGTCTATTAAATACAAATAGATCTTAATTCTATATCTCACCTCATTTTCTATAAAACCCTCTTTAAATATTCATCTCCCCTTATTGATCAACAGAGATCTAGTAAAAAACAATAAAATTGGAAATATTCTAAATTTATAAACCCCCTTTCCGTTTACTCTACATCCCCTTCATCCCTCTCTTAACAATTAAACATTACAAACAATAATGGTGTTGAAAGCTATTAAACATTAATTTATTCAATTTAAACATTACCAGAATAACCCCTTATTTAAATATTCAAAAATTGATAGCATAAATGTTACAAACTAATCCATTACATCATTGAATATTTCTAAAATAGTAACAATTCAATCTGAAAATCCCAGCCATTCTTAAGTCCTGTGGATACATTCTAGCTCTTGTTTTTTATAGCCTCTTTGCCTTTTTTTCCTGAAGTTCATTATATTTATCCAAATCCATTCATAATTTCTATTAAGTAATTCCAGTACATCTCTTATACTTCAATATAACAGGATAGCCCACATCACTTTTAAAGTACATTATTTTTATGTTCTTTTGGATTTTAAATATTCATGCAGTTCCACTTGCAAATCCAGTATTTTGATCTCTTTTTTGTAATTTTTAAGTCCATCTGAAAGACCATTTTGATTGTCTTCAAAGGAATTTGTTCATCTTCAGTAGCAACTTTAAGTTCCGGTACAGAGTTGAAAAGCTGAAGCACTTCATATGCCCACAAATCAAACATTTCCTTTAAAGTTGCTGTCATATGCTTTAGTATTAGATCTTCAAAGTCTTGTTTGCAAAATGTAAACAAAATGGACTTTTCCCACAGGAGAGGATCTAATTAATTTCAGTCTTTCTTTAAATCAGTTTCACAAAGGCGTAGTTAGCATTTGAACTCTTTAAACTCTAAAGTACTTTGCTGTATATTGCCAGTTACAAAAAACATCTTACAAAACTAATAAGACTTAGTTTCTTTTCTTTTGAAACAGATTGAAGGAAAACTCAACCAGCAACTTGTAGGTTTGCAGTTCTGAAGGTTTATTAGTCTTAAAGAAGCTGTACAAAAAATAAATTGGAAAGTGATTAAGAAGATGAGATTTCATGAAACCTTAAGTCCATGAAAAGCTGAATTTATAGCTCAGAGCATGATGGAACCCATGACTCTCAACTGATGGCAAACGGCTGCAGAGGCATCAATTTCTGCTGTGTGTTCACAAAAATCAGTTGTTGAGGAATGCCTATGAGCAACCTTCAGATCTCTCTTTGTTCCAGAGAGAATTCTAGCAGATTGGACTTCACATCCAACTGCTTTTTGGCTGTAATGCTCCTGCAATTTGCATGGAGCAGGAAAATGTGCCTTGCCTAACTAGAAACTCTCTGCAAGAGAAAGAGATCTTTAAAGGTGTTTAAAAAAGTATTTTGACTGATCAACATGTTTTGGACATGTAATAGCAAACTGCTATCCACAGTGATTTTGGAAAAAAAGACTTGTTAACATGAGTTGAAACTAGGGTTGTATAGGAAACAAATTAGACTGATGGGTTTGCTTTGCTTTGGCATCAGTATTTCGGGCGCATGTATATCAGCTGGCAGTTGGGCTCCTTTTGACATAAATGTAGCTTCATTCATTCATTCATTCATTCATTCATTTATTCATTCATTCATTCATTCAATTTAGATGGCTGCCTATCTCAAATTCATTACTCTAGACAGCTAGTAAAAGTTAGAAATACAGTGAAACATAATAAAAAGAACATTCACATTACCAGCATAAATAACATGGATATAAAACAGAATCAACATAACCATTGCATAGCCTATGTCCCACATCTAGATCCCAAGCTTGTTGACAAAACCAGTCCTTAAGGCCTTAGAAAAGGAGCAGGGCAAATCTCAACACTGGCCTGTCAGGCAGGGGTGGTGGTGTGATGTAAAGAAAAGGGCTCTTCCCTCTCTCACCTCTCTGCTGCCTCCTGGACCAGTCAATACTGGCATTATTTTTAGACAAGAACCTTTAGCTCTTCTTAAAGACCAGTAAACCTGTACTTAAACAGTTTTAAATATATAGGCAGGAGTACTAGATAGTACTATGGTACTATCTCTGCTTTACTGGGCAATCCCAACCCCACCGTGGAGGAGGCACTTTACTAAGAACTAACCTATCCACAGATCAGACACAGCACTTGTATCTGAACCAATGGGCAATGAAGTCCAAAGTCTTCAGCCACCCAGTATACCTGTCAGATGATCTGAGATGAGCCAACACACCTTATTGGGGTGGCACAGTAGAACAAGAAAGTTCATTTCGCTACATGGCCCTTTTAGCAGTTGTCAGGTGTTTGGATTCTACTTTTGAACAAGGGTTTAGTGCTGTTCCAGAGACTAGTGAACATATGATTAAAAACAGTTTTAGATGATGGGGTAGGGCAGTTACAATGGAAAGATCCCTCTTTCTTGCAATTACTGCATCCGTCAGCTGTTTCTAAAACTATTATTAAATATTGAAATTTTCCATAAGAGTGCTAAACTCAGATTTAAATACAGCCCCCACCCCAACCCCAAGGACTCTGGAGTGTGCTCCCCCTCTACAGCAGGTGTCATCAATCTTTCAGGCTGGCTGACAGGTGCCGGCAATGGGAATCCAGTTCTTCCAATAGGCACCCAATTGCACAATTCTACGCCGAATTGTACATTGGGGGGGGGTGCACGAAGAGAGGCTCAGCCAATCTCATTGTACACATGTTGTACTCTGGCAATAAAGGTAATAATAATAATACATGATTATTGATTTGATGGGGAAGTCAGCTTGTCCCTAACTTCTCTTGCCATTTCTCTGAGCCCTGACAGCCTGGGGACCTGTTGTCAGGTCTGGCAGTTGTGGCAGGAGACAGTATATAGAGAGATTTCTTTCTTCACTAGATAATTGATTGCATGGAACGGCTCCATAGAACTTAGATGCGGTGGGTGGGGGAGAACTTATTTTGAAAGAATTGGACTCCTATCCCTGAAAGCAGAACAGCTCTGGAAGGCAGTATTCAGAGCCAGAAGGAAGTCGATTGCCTTCAGAAGCCCAAAACATCCAATGGGAGCTGGATAGATCCCTGACTGATGCTGCCATCAACCATATTGCACACAGAGGTGTCAAAGTTTGTTTCAGGAGAAGAGGGAAAACATCTCTTTAACACTGGACCAGAAAAAGGCAAATGAAAGATGCATCCATAGTGGACTCAGGATGAATCAAAGGCAACAGATAAATTTAAACATGGTTAGCAGGGGTTCTTTGTGCCATGGTTACCACAATGTAAACATGAGCTCTTAGTTTCACTATTCACTATTCCTTCTACTATTCTCTTCTTGCATTCTGGATTGCAGCTATCCATAAGTTATGGACATCACCTGGTGAGCTATAGATATAGCCTGCTGCTGCTCATTATGACCTTGGTAATTTGCCATAACTTTTTTTAGTGAATGAGAATACTAGCTTTAGTCATGACCATACCACATACAGTATTGCTAGTGGTGAGGATAGGCAGTATACTGCAAGGAGAGCACAGGCCAGTTTTATCCCCAAATGTACTATATTTAGGCTATTATGTGAAGCTAGGCTCTTTAATCTAGATATTATTTTGCAAGCTAGCATTCTTCTTGCCTCTATTCCATCAGATAGACGGTTTATGCAATATATAGTCACCTGCTTACAACTACTAAATTCAAGACAGATTCAAATTTCTATTTTAAAAATCTCTTCTTAATAATTGGAATTTGGTACCAACTTTTGGAAGAGCTTTGAAGGTTGCATCTCAGTCTTTAGGCAAGGCAGATTTTTGATGAGCAGGAGTGATGCTGGATGAAGAAACAATAAGGGCCGAGAGATATATCAGACTGGAAGAGGTGCAGGGTAGAAAGTTGAAAGTAAGGGTATGCTTATGCTGAATTTAGGATCATGGAGAGAGCAAGTATGGAGATTTTAAGAACTGTCAAGTGATTTGAAAAGTGTTTTGGATATACACATTGGATGTTTTGTATCCTTGCCCAAATAACTGAATTGGTGAGATTAAAAGGTATGATTGATATGAAAGAGGATGGTAAAATCATTGCTCCTGAAGCAAAAGTTATTTCCCAAATCATAGTACCCTGTTCCAAGTAAAAATTTCTTTTGACTTTTAATTTTAATTTTGTGACTTTTAATTTTGTTCTAGGTGTAAGCAGTTGGATGATTTCCTCATGGCTTTGTTGTACTATATTTCTTTTTATCTGGAAAAAATAAACCTGGAGATGAAACCCAAGTCTTTTATGGGGTAACTACTTTTATGTTTTCCTAAACAGACTCCCATAACCACATTATGTACATAATATTGTATGGTAAAGTCTTGGTACTAAGGTATTCTCTTTCTTCAGACTTTGTGCACTCAGAGGATTTGCTGGTTTAATCTTTGCTAGACTGTGCAAAGAGCTTTCTCCATCAACGGAAGGTCTAGCATTTGGTGACCAGGTTGCCCAGAATACAATGATCTTGTCCCATTTTACAAATCTGCATGTATTTCTCAATGTCAAAGATTCCAAATTCTGTAGCAAGAATGTAGATTTAGGTCAAAGTGAACATTTAATCAATTTATGGGAGCAAGGACTTTCTAAGTGTAAATTAATTCTTTCCTGAGAAAATCAGCTTGAAAAACAAGTTTCTAGCCCTTTGTGAATCTGAAATACCTGCTGAAGTCAGAGAAAAGACAAAGATACATTTTACTCATCAAATTGGCTCCAGTGGCTCCAGTAATATTGCTTTATGACCGGGGGAAATAGCAAGTAGTACATAGTAATGTAGGTTACAGAACAGACTCTTCTTAGCCCACAATTTGATGATCTTGTAATTGATTTTTATTTTTATAAAGACCTGCCTTGTTTAGGGAGGGATGGCCAGGGCTCAGTGCTTAAAGGAATACATGATATTAGGAAGTTCTCTATTTCAATTCTCTGCAGTGCCAATATCTTATTATGTGGGAAAGATGTATTAATTCAAGAGAAGACAAAAAAATTAATTAATTCCAGTCAGAGAAGACAAAAGAATATGGACAACAGTGCTATGAAATAGGTCATATAATAGACAGAATAGGTAAATGCTTTCAGGTTCCCATCCCTTCCTGATCTCATTCTTTCCTCAGCTATTTGTAGTAACCTCTTAATGGTCTACCTATCTTTTGGTCCTTTTTAGGTTTCTTCTACCATAACTTTGAAAATTGATATGGTTTACCCAAACCTGGTTTAAAGCTGGCCAAAGCAGTATCTGGATCTGAATATGTATTTCTAGTGTACAAAACTGAAATAACTACAGGTAGTCCTCAACTTATGCCCACAATTGAGCCCAAAATTAATGTTTCTAAGTGAGAAATTTGTTAAGTGAGTTTTGCTCCATTTTCCAAGTGAATAACAGCCATGTAAGTTAGTTACATGGCTGTTAAGTGAATCTGGCTTCCCCATTAACTTTGCTTGTCAGAAAGACACAAAAAGTGATTACATGATCCTGGGACACTGCAACCATCATAAATATAAGTCAGTTGCCAAATGTCTGAATATTGATCTCATGACCATGGGGATGCTGCCATGGTCATAAGTGTGAAAAATAGTCATAAGTCACTTTTTTCAGTGCTGTTGTAATTTCGAACAATCACTAAATAAAGTAAGTCCAGGGCTACCTGTAATAATGACTGGCTGTTTTCCTGAAATATTCAATATTAAACTTAAAGCAAGGCTGAAAGTCCTCCAGCTCATGTACCTATGTCTAACTCTGGGCTTCCAACTTTAAGATACACAAACAGAAATAATTCTGGATACCAAACAGTGTTCCTAAGCTACCATTACAAGAAGTCAATTTATTGTTGAATGTTAGGGGATTATCTTAAAGACTTTAGCTTATATAAAACAGAATCAGTTTCTGACAGAGAAGTGGTGAACACTGTTCAGAGCAATATATCTCTTTCTCTACAGTGTGCCGCATGTGCAGAGACAGAAAAAAGTATCAAAAAGTGATGAAAAGAAAAGGTGTCAAAAAAGGAGAGAATGGGTAGCTGAATTCACCTTTTGCTTGTTCTATCACACCTATCTAACAATATGCATTCAGTTTTGTATAGATACTTTCAAGAAAATGTTCCCCAGGACAGAAATAAATTAAAAAATCCTTTAATTTTTGTATTTTTTGGTCAAAACAGAAAGCCCAGCATCCTAGAAAAAAAAGAATTGAAAGAAATCCAAATAAAGCTAGCAGTGACCAAAAAGCACCTTGCTGAAATGTACTGTGTCCTTATCCTTGGACTGGGAATGTCTGATCAGCATCACATGGCTTGTGGAAAGTAAGGAAATAATTGTGCCTAAAAAATACTTTCTCTGATTCCAAATGGACGTTTTCTTATACTGCCCATCAGAAGACCTGTGCTTATTCTGTCTTTTGTTCATGAATATTTTTTTGTGTGGAAAGAAACAAAAAAGTGATAAGACAGTGCACAAGGGTTATAAATTACCTCCATCACCACATTTCATGAATGTGTGTGGATAATTGCATGCTGAACTATTTCCCTGGATATACTTTCTGAATTAATGTTCTAAATGTGATGTCATGTTATGATCTAAATTTGATGTCATGTCATATACACTGTGTATAAATGGCTATAGGCAATAGAGAATTGAAGGCAGATAAACTATTTTCTGAGTGGAAGTAGGGATGGTAAAGAGACAAAATAACAGTAGGCAGTTTTGTTAACCAAGAAGTGAAGTCTCAGTTTTTGGGACCCTTACTAGGAAATATGCACAGCCAACCAATGTGGGTTGTCATAAATTTAATTTATTTATTTATTAATACTACTAGCTCGATACCCATGCTTCGCTATGAAACTATTTAAATATACAGGCAGCTTAGTTTTTGGGGAGGAAAATAAGAGGGGGAAATTCTGCCTCTGCCTACCAGCATCCATCAATATTTATCTGGCTAGTGTCCTATCAGAGTGTGAGAGAGTTGAGGGCTGATTGGAAACTGAAACAGAATTTGCTCTGAGCAAGAAGGAGACAGCAAGGAGCCTGGGCTGTGGCTTAGCTCAATTGTTCTGTAGTAAAGCTGCTTGGTTCTGTGAAACTAAAACTGAAACTCATCTTCTCTGCTTGTGTTTTTGGAACAGATTTCTTTTCAGGTGGGGAGGGGGAGTAGAACTCCTTAGCATCAGAGCGTGTTAATAGTAATAATATATGAAATAGTAATGCTCTGATGGTCATTTTTGAAAAATCCTTTCTTAGTGAGCACCTAGAAGCCAAGAGGAACATACATGCCAAATTTCAAGTTTGTAGGCTTTACAGTTCTGGAGATTTTGTGATGATGCGTGAGTGGTATTTCTCTCTCACATACACACACACACACATATACATATACATACATAGATACACACACACACACACACACACACACACACACATATATGATTCAAAAATTCAAAAGAAAATGGTAGAAAAGGTAAGGGAGGGAAAAGGGAAAGGAAAAGTGTGGGAAAAGGGGGAAAAAGAAAGAAAAGACGACTTCCAATTCCCTTTGGTGCAGTACAATAACATAATAATATCAGACCTTTTTTACTTTTTACTTTTACATAGTAGTATAAACTAGTCATTTCTATACACAACAAACCTAATTGGGTAAAATGCATAGCCAGAGTTTCATTTTTTCCACCTCGAGCACAAAGTCCAGAAGCAGTTTCCAAGTAGACACAAAAGTAATTGTATTTTTGTCTTTAATCAAAGCAGTCAGTTTGGCCATCTCTGCTAACTCCATCAACTTCTGCAGCCATTCATCCATTGTGGGAATCAAAGTTTCCTTCCATTTTTGTGCTAAAGTAATCTTGCTGCCGTCAACATACACAGCATCAAAGTTTGAATCCCCCCCCCCCCAAAGTCTTTTTCCATTAAATCCAAAAGAAAAGTTTCTGGTTTTATCTTTATATTCACTTTGAGAATTTTCTGTATTAAGATATCAATCCTACTCCAACATTTCTTTGCTCTGTCACATGTCCATCATAAGCAATAAAAGGTCCATTGTTTACTTTTATATTTCCAACATTCATTTGAAATACCTTTATACATTCTTGACAACTTATCTGGTGTTAAATACAAACAATATATCATCATATAATTTTTTTCTGTTAAGTTACAATTTAATGTAAATTTTATACCTTTCATCCACATATTTTCCCATTGTTAAAGCATGAAATTACACTGCTCAAAAAAATAAAGGGAACACTTAAATAACACAATGTAACTCCAAGTCAATCACACGTCTGTGAAATCAAACTGTCCACTTAGGTAGCAACACTGATTTGACAATCAATTTCACATGCTGTTGTGCAAATGGAATAGACAGGTGGAAAGCATAGGCAGTTAGCAAGACATCCCCAATAAAGGAGTGGTTCTGCAGATGGTGACCACAGACCACTTCTCAGTTCCTATGCTTTCTGGCTGATGATTTGGTCACTTTTGAATGCTGGCGGTGCTTTCACTCTAGTGGTAGCATGAGACGGAGTCTACAACCCACACAAGTGGCTCAGGTAGTACAGCTCATTCAGGATGGCACATCAATGTGAGTTGTACAAGAAGGTTTGCTGTGTTTGTCAGCATAGTGTCCAGAGCATGGAGGCGCTACCAGGAGACAGGCCAGTACATCAGGAGATGTGGAGGAGGCCGTAGGAGGGCAACAACCCAGCATCAGGACCACTACCTCTGGTAGGACAGGAGGAGCACTGCCAGAGTCCTGCAAAATGACCTCCAGCGGGCCACAAATATGCATGTGGCTGTTCAAACGGTCAGAAACAGACTCTATGAGGGTGGTATGAGGGCCTGACGTCCACAGGTGGGGGTTGTGCTTACAGCCCAACACCGTGCAGGACATTTGGCATTTGCCAGAGAACACCAAGATTGGCAAATTCGCCACTGGCGCCCTGTGCTCTTCACAGGTGAAAGCAAGTTCACACTGAGCACATGTGACAGATGTGACAGGGTCTGGAGACACCTGGAGAACGTTCTGCTGCCTGCCACATCCTCCAGCATGGCAGTGGGTCAGTAATGGTGTGGGGTGGCATTTCTTTAGGGGGCTGCACAGCCCTCCATGTGCTCGTCAGAGGTAGCCTGACTGCCATTAGGTACCGAGATGAGATCCTCAGACCCCTTGTGAGACCATATGCTGGTGCAGTTGGCCCTGGGTTCTTCCTAATGCACGACAATGCTAGACCTCATGTGGCTGGTGTGTGTCAGCAGTTCCTGCAAGACGAAGGCA